CGGTGACTGGGAGTATGCCACTGCACTCCAGCCTGGGCAACAGAGTGAGACTCCAACTCAAAAATAATAATAATAATCTTGACCTCAAGCCCCAGACTCTCTCTTGATCCTGGGTTTATACACATCTGCATCTGGACATTTGCCCCAAGATGGCATCTCAGACTCAGCACATTGTTAATCTTCTCCCCAGACTACTGCCCTCTAGGCTCCCTGTCTCACAATGGCACCACAATCTACCCTTCCTCATACCAAAGCCCCCAGGGTCATCCTTCATGCCTCCTTCTCCCTCACTCCTCACATTACCAAGTCTGTTTCTGGAATCTGTCTACTTTTTCCATCTCACTCCAACCCCCACCCCTACTCCACCCCCAGTTCAGGCCACCTTTCCTTCTTATGTAACCACTTATTGCAAGAGTTGGTGTCCCTGTCTCCATTTTTACCCATCTGATCTCCATGCAGCCAGAGTAATCTATTTCATTCTGCCCATTGATACGTTGATGGCTCTGCCATGGGCTTTCAGAATCTGTAAAGGCCTTACATGATCCCTGTATCTCTAGCCACTGGTTCACATTCAGGCTTCAGCCAGATTCCTCAGGCCTTCTGGTCTTTCTATATTTCTCCAAGATATTCTCTCTCCCGACTTCCTGTGTTTTCCAGCCAACTCCCAGCCATCATTTGGGTCTCAACTGAGATGCCATGTCCTGCAGGATACCTTCTCTGTCCTCCAAAGCTGGTTAGGTGTTGTCTGGATGCCTTCACATCCCTTGTACTGACACCCTCGTTCCCTGTTGCCTGCATGGGAACTGCCTTGCCTGGCTGTCTCTTCAGCTTCCCTGAGGAAAGATAGTGACTGTCTCCACAATGAAGAGCTTACCTCCTTGCCTCCCTCCAATCCCCAGGTGAAGCTCCTGGAAGTGATGGAAGGAATGGACAAGGAGACGTTTGAGTTCAAGTTTGGGAAGGAACTAACATTCACCACCGTGCTAAGTGACCAGCAGGTGGTGGAGCTGATCCCTGGGGGTGCATGCATCGTTGTGGGATATGAGGACCGTTCTCGTTTCATCCAACTGGTCCAAAAGGCACGGCTAGAGGAGAGCAAGGAGCAGGTACTAGACCGAGGCCAGGAGAACAGAGATTTAGACTCTCCTGAGCCCCAGCCCCCAGTAGCCAGAGCCTAGCCTACAGGCCACCAGTAGCTAGTCCTAAGAACTCTGGACTCCACCATTCCTCTGGCCCACATTCCTGCTGTGCAGGGGGGTTCAAAGATGCCCCCCTGCAGTGCAAGTTGAGAGTTGTGCCCCCTCCACCAGCCAGGCCTTTTACCCCTTCCCCAGGTGGCGGCCATGCAGGCAGGTCTGCTGAAGGTGGTGCCACAGGCTGTGCTGGACTTGCTGACCTGGCAAGAGTTGGAGAAGAAGGTGTGTGGGGACCCAGAGGTCACTGTGGATGCCCTGCGCAAGCTCAGTGAGTTCCCGGCTGTGGGGCAGAGGAGGGCAACACAGTAGGGACAAGGACTGGGCAGGAAGAGCCTCAAGCATGAATTCTCACCTTGTCTCCACCAGCCCGGTTTGAGGACTTCGAACCATCTGACACGCGGGTGCAGTATTTCTGGGAAGCACTGAATAACTTCACCAATGGTCAGTGGAAGAGGGCAGAGTGACACCTGGGTTCGAAGTCTACTTGTGGGACACAGAGGCAGGGAAGAAATTTTAGAACCTCGCTCACCATCAGAGTGGACACTGATTTCCTTCTTTGTCCCAGAGGACCGGAGCCGCTTCCTGCGCTTTGTCACCGGCCGCAGCCGCCTGCCCGCACGGATCTACATCTACCCGGACAAGCTGGGGTGAGTGCAGAAGGGCGTCTGCAGGTGCCGTGGCCGGCCTTCTGTCCTCCCTCCCCACACATGCACACATGTGCCCTACACATCTTCCTGATCTGTGGCCCCTCAACGCCCCCAGCTACGAGACCACAGACGCACTGCCTGAGTCTTCCACCTGCTCCAGCACCCTCTTCCTGCCGCACTATGCCAGGTGGGTTTTTCCCTAGGTTCGAGCCTGGGTCGTGGGGGTGGGGAGCACCCTTGGCGGGGGGCACTTTCAGCACTGAAGTGCACAAACCAGAGCCGCTTTGCCCCTAATAGTGGTGGAGGGGCCTGACCTCATCCCCGTCCCTGCAGCGCCAAGGTGTGCGAGGAGAAGCTCCGCTACGCGGCGTACAACTGTGTGGCGATCGACACGGATATGAGCCCTTGGGAGGAGTGAGGCGTGCCGGGGCAGCTGCGGGCTCTGGCAGGACTGCTCCCGTGTGGGTCCCACTAGGCATAGCTCAGGGCAAGACACCTTCCCTGCACCGAATTCCTAGGGTCTGTGATCCCAGTGTGAGCTGACGTGCTCTGCAAAACCGTGCTCTGCAAAACCCAGCGCCCTGCTCCTGTGTGCGTTTGGCGTTGGGGCAACGAGGCGGTGGATTGACGCTGGTGGCCCAGCCCCGCAGACCCACAAGCCCTACCCGTGCTGGAACTTGCTTCCTGAGGTCTTCGGGAATCTTCCACAAGACCAGCACAAGCTGCCAGGCCTGAGCTACTTGAAGGGGACCATCTAGGTCCCCACCCCATGGACTTTGCCTGTTTTCAGCTCCACATTTTTTCTCTTCCTTTCTCTCTGGCTTCAGCCATGACTTAAAACTCAAAATGTTGGAGGATGGTGGAGGCCCCTCCCCAAGCAAGGAGCCAGGGATGATGGGAAGTGGTAGTCATCCTCTTTGGTCACCTGCTCCAAGAAGGAAGCAGCAATTGAGTACCCCTCCCTTACCTACTGCCCTTTTCCAGCTCTCCTACACCCGAGGTGTGATGGGCTCTGTTCTTCCTCCAACCCAGTCTCAACTGGCCCTGCCCAAAAAAGAGAGAAAAAAATAGGCTGGCCTGATATTTTTCGGGAACCTACGTCCATTCAACGTTAAATCCTCCATCTCCCCATAGTCATCACTTCCACATCACCTCTAACCTGATTCTTCGTCTGCTGTTTCACCCTGAAGAATTTGCACAGGTTAAGGCCAGTTACGTCCTCTCTGAAACCTTCAATAACTCACCTTTACCCAACTCTCAAGTAAAGCCTCGACATGACCCATGCTTCTAGAGCTATGCACGCCCCTGCCCCAGCCCCTTCTCCCTCTGTTGAGGGCCTCCATTACACTCCATCAAAAGACTTTCTTGCACATGGGAAAACTGAATAAATGTATAAATTCATTTCTTCAGAATGTTTGTTGGGTTCTGTGCTAGGCACAGGGAGCACACACAGTGCTCTGTCCTAGAGGAGCGAGGGAAGGCTCTTCCAGTACTTGTATGACCTGCCGGGAGCCAAGAAGATGTGTGTTAAATGGGAGGAGTGGGGCTTCTCAGCAACAAACATTAAATCTGGAGCTGAACAGGAAAACAAAGGGTCCTGCCCAAAAAGGAGAGAGGCTAACCTGACATTTTCTGGGTTGGGTGTGCTGATTTGGAGGATGGGAGTCCGCTCGAACCCAGTGAGCAGAAGAATTTGACATCACGGAAGACATAGCCTTGAGATGGCTGACAGACCGGCCAGGTCAGGATGTTGACAGACGTGAAGGCAGCAGCATCACTACTGCTCCCACTTCCATTTGTTACCCAGCTAAGATGTGGTCTTTAAGAACAGGTACCCAAGCCGGGCTCGGTGGCTCAGCCTGTAATCCCAGCACTTTGGGAGGCTGAGGTGAGTGGATTGCCTGAGCCCGCGGGTTCGAGACCTTCCTGGGCAACTTGGCAAGACCTCATCTCTACAATAAATAAAAAAATTACCCGGGCGTGGTAGCGCGCGCCTGTAGTTCCAACTACTTGGAAGGCTGAGGTGGAAGGATCGCCGGAGCCCAGCAG